ATAACTTCTAGCTGTTCGTTTAAAACTAGGAAGTAAAAACAACATATGTATAATTTCAATGTTTAAACTGCTGGCCTCAAAAAAGTAAAATACTCAAGAGTTCGCTGTTTCCGGGCACCAAGCTTGCCCGGCGGATTTTCTCAAAGAGTATGTGGTTGTAGCGTCTCAAAATGTTTTCGTAACCACAGTTTTGTGTGATGAATCGAATAATATCATAACAAGCATATGTTGACTTTTTTCATGTTTTGGCCATATGGTCACTGTTTCGGCGCTCTCGTACAACCTCTCCGGAGTCTTTCGATTTAAGCGCCACTATAAATCGAACTTTCTTATCTACACTAAGTTCTTATTGATAGCACACTACTCTTTTCTTTTTATTATTTTAAAATGGTCATGATGTCACAGAAAAAATTCTTATTATACAAACACGTCCACAATTGTTTTTCTATGTACTGGACACTGTTCCGATGTTTCTTCATTGGTTTTCATCCATTTTTGTAAACATTGTCGATGAAACGCATGATGATAAAATAAAAACAGTTTTTCTCATTCATTCTCAATTTATTCCAAACATACAGAACATTGATCTTGATCATTTTCTGATTGTGTTTCAATTTTGAATGGCATTAGTATCCGGTCACTAGGCAGATCATAAACTAAATATTTGTCACCGCCACGTATGTGTGACGGTATTCCAAGCAGGATTCTCCGTACTCCACTACTCCGCGGAGTGAACTTCCACTCCGGAGTGATAAGTGCTGTAACTCTCTTCTCTCGCATTTGTTGATCAGCTTTCTTCTCGGGAATAGTATGCACAGTACTAATGAATGCTAATCCAAGTTCTTGAAAGAAGCGATAATAATAGCAGTTCCTACAGTTCCTATCGCATAGTTTCTAATGTTACTAATCCTAGAAACATTGAGAACTATAGGAACTATAAGAACATTAAGAAGTATGGGAACATTAGGAACATTGGGAGCTAAATAATACTACAAACGCAAACAGAATTTGAGAAAGCAAAGCATGTCAACTGAAAACATCAGACTCCAATCACTCCAGGGCCACTCCGTCACTCAGGATTATTCCATTACTCCGTCTACTCCGATTAAACTCCTCAGAGTGATGGGGTTAGCGGAGTAAGGTGTTTCCCCCTTGCAGTATTCTTTGTTGTTTCATACCGTTAATGGATTTTACCTCAGAATAAGTTCGATATTTACAACGATTAAATGCATATTTCATTGGCTTAATCGATCGTTTACAGATCGGACAAAACGATTTTGAAATGATGATTGTTGCAGTCACGAAATACAAGACCTAATTCGAATTATAACAAGCAAAGGAATAATTCATCTAACTCGAAAAAAAATCATTCGTAAATTTGTGGATTTCTAGAAATTTTGTGAAAACTTGTCCTGACTGGCTGCTGTTGTACATACATCTCTGCAAACAGGTCTTTCGCAACTTATTAATTCTTTTATTTCTTCCTTTTACTTCGTAGTTTATTTATATTGCTTAACTTAACGTTTCGATTAATAAAAATCTTCACCAGTAGTTGACACTATAAAACAATATATTAGCGAATGAAAAAAGATTAGAACAACCAAAATCTCTTTATAATAATTTGTAATATAAGCTCATTATAGTTAACGTTGAAAACACAAAGAGTATCGTGTAACCATCGCTAAGATAAGAAACGAAGAAAATAGAATACTTTGATAAAAAAGAAACATTCATATTTGATTGTTTTCGCAATACCATACAAACTGATAGAATACCATACAACTGTTGTCGATCTGAATCCGAAGGATGAAATGAACCTTCAGCAGGAAAGTAAGACTTCGTTGAACAAGAAATATTTAATAAGAATCATTGCTCTATTATTAATTCTACTGTGCATCACGTTAATTTTAAGTTTGCTGCACGTGAAGTACTTTTTAATTCTAACTTTATTCTAACCATCATGGGCACGTTTATTGCCAGCTTTTCAAATACAGGTTTATTTATAAAACGTAGAAGATTACCACAAAAGACTCAACGGTTCAATTATATTATTATTAATGTTCTATGTGTATTTTAATCGTGTACATATTGGCGTAGAGCCATCATTATCAGAGCTCTACGGTTAAATGTATAGTGAAAAACACTGTTACAGCATCGACACCATCACAGTACAAAGGTGTGTAAGAAAGCTTCGTATAGATATGCTTCTACTATGCACTTCAAAATACAGTAACTACGGATGTGTTTTTATAATTAACTTAAGAAAGAAAGAACTATGGACCTGCGGTTATCAGATGATGAAAGAGGACATCTGGGCGCATAATTCTGTAATAAATTTAGCCAGACCAAAATTGAACATTTCGTGACGCTAGGTTGAGTAGAATTGAAAGCTCCGTTTTTGTTATTTTTATAAATTTTTTCTCCTTGTTCTGCTGTCATACTTTCTCAGCTGCTATTTTTATCGCTTCTCAGACAGGGATAGAGTCTAAACTAGCAATAACGTCATTCGAGTTTACTTTTGTCTGTTTCAGTTGATTAACTAAGTATAATTATCACTCACATGATTTTTTCAAAACTGACAGCTATTACATGCTTTTTTAAAAAACTTGTGTATATATTTATCCCTCTTCTCTTTCAAACAAATACCAACGGTCATTCGCCTGCTGATGATACTGTAATATTGTCAAAAGCTCGCTTTTTGTATATAAAATGATTTTACTTAAATTCTTTTCTATTATTTTAAATATGTTACGATGAGTCATTTAGCACTATCTATCATGTCCGTCCAAGCGTCTGATACACGCATCCGACTCGGCTTGTTTCTTCGCTCCGATTATTATAGTGATTGTCTACCACGAGGTGTGATACAAATCATTGTAAAAGAAAAGTTTTAACGGCTTCTTAAATATTCAGCTTGCTTGCTCATTGATGCCCGTTGTTCAACAGCAGCTTCTTTCAAAAAAAATTTGGAAACAGGGAGCTTCTGCACTTTGAACTTTTACATAGTGTGGTTGAGGAGAGGTTCCTGTTGAGGCGTCTCTTGTAATGTGCAAATCCCTTGGCTAATTCTTTCGATTCCTGCCCTTACTTTTCATATTTCAGAGACGTGTAAGCGTGCAGAAATTAATGTAACCATTTGTCATTCAAATTTTCCTTCGTATGACATCTATTAACATCTATTGACAATTACTGAAAAACTAAACAGAATAAACAAAGAATAACCGCAAATTTCGTTTAAAAATGGGATCCCAGATTGGACGCACTAGCTCGCTGCAAACGGAGCACAGACTTAGCAAATTCATTCTAATGTTTATTTGTTGTGATTTTTTTATACACGTCTCAACCCCTTCCAGTAACAAAGCGTTGCTGTTGTGTCTGACATCCGTGGGTTCTCCATTATGTCCTCTGGCATAATTTTGACAGCGTCATCAATGAGCGAACAAGATGAATATCTGGGAAGGCATTACAGTCTTCCATTCAGAATGATAAATATTATCGCCTCGTGATTGACAATCACTATAATAATCGGAGAGAAGAAACAAACCGAGTTGAATGCGTACATCAGACGATCGCACCCAAACAACAGATAGTACTAAATGAGTTCATGGTAAGTCTGAAATGATATATTTCACCTGAAGTTCAACTAAAACACTAACAGACAAAGGCTGAATTATTCCAGTGGCTGAATTATCTTTTCACATATCAAGCAATACACTTTTCTTCTCTAGAGCAGCAATATCTATCCGGAAGAAGAAAGTTCTCTATCCTGCATATTTTAGATGTATCATGAAGTACTTTCTCCTGGGTTGATGCGGAAAGTTTCAAAAACTATGTCAGAATAAATAAAACGTCATTAACGCAAAACAGAACTGTTCTGACATAGATTTGCAATAGCTCTTAGATCCTGCATCACGTTATTGCTATTTAAATAAACATAAGACACAACTTAATCGTTACACATCAATAGTTTCTTATACTAGCATCATTTCTGTATAGAAACATTATTATAAGTTAAAAACGTACCCTAACTGGAAGGTAAACCTTCAAGCATACTTATTTTGTTTTTGTCTTTTTGTATGCACTTAAATCCGTTTGGATTTCATCCTGCTCCTGGTGAAATTTTAGTAGATACCGGAGCGCGTACACCCGTGAACGTCGTAAATGGTGTGTTGGCACGCATGCAAAACTTATCCGCTTGTGATCAGACGTGAACTATGTACTTACAGATAAGTGACCATGCGTATAAAAGTTTCTAGACTTTCTGGCGCGTGTTTGCAAGTGAAACTTTTTTACGGAAATATTAACGCGAAAAGTCCACGCGTGGTTCACTGCACGTTTCTCGAGTTTTATTAGCGGTTACGCGGTAGAAACGCCATATATATATTTTCGTGAACTGTTAACGTCCGATCACAGACGGATAACTTTCAGACGTGTGGTCACATATCTTTTCACTTTGTGACCACATGCGAAAAATAGGATGGAAAAAATTTTTGGATTACGATGGAAAATGCACAGTTCACGTCTGGTCAAAAGCGAAGAATTTTTTTATGCGTGCCACTACAACGTTTACGATGTTCACCTGCGCTCACATTCCGTTTCACGACGTTCACAGGTGCACAAACCCCGGTATCCACCAAAATTTACCCATGGGTGCAGTTATAATGTACCTTATAATGTATAGAACAGAGGGACAAAAAAGAGGTTGTGTAGTACGACCGTGGTCAAAATATCAATGGCATTTGAAGAGGAGCATCACCTATGGATCTGCATGATCAAGTCAAGACACGAGCAGTGTGGTCTCATATCATGATTAGAATAAAAAAGAATATCCGAAACGGGCTATTTCTGTTTTTTTAGAAACTGACTTTCGCTTGCGTATGCTTCTTCTTACATTCATACTTCACGTTAATTTTGTAGAACTTTAAAAGGACGATTCACGCTGCAAAAGGTTTTTGATTCAAATTATTCTTATTGTGATATTTCTGAATCCCGTATCTAATATGGTGAAAGAAGAGTTTAAAGTTGCTAAAATCGTTGATATGCCAATCAAAGTCGAAGGTATTTGGTTGATAGGGGTCATTTGAAGTATGAATATTTTGAACTGTGATTATCATTGAAATATTTATGAATATTTTGTTATTTTTGATTGTGTAGTACCCTTATGTTGTTCATTACGAATTACGCTAGCTATCATAGCTTTTTTGGGATTTTTTCTGTGTTATGCTCAACGAAATGGTTTATCCGTTGGTATTGTATGTATGGTTAATCAGCCAATGAATAGTAGTGACCAGCAGAAAGTTATTCGAAGTTTTCCGCCTGAATGTAAATATGATGAGAAAACAAGTCTACGATCACCAAATCAAGTATTAAACTGGTCAAAACAAACACAAGGGGTTATTTTGGGCTCATTTTATTGGGGCTACATGTTGACACAAGTGGCAGGCGGTATTGCTGTCAATTATCTGGGACCTCAAAAATTTATAGCTATTGTCGTCTTTTTATCTTCACTGTGTACATTACTACTACCAATGGTTGCTCTAGTGAATTCAGCCATTGTGATTATTCTTCGTGTTATTACTGGAGCTTCACAGGAAAGTTTATGTCTTTAGAGGAGTGTACTTTAAATTACACAATATATTTTTTTAGGGTGGATTATGGCCAGGTATATTTCGATTCTGGTTGGCTTGGGCACCGCCAGATGAACGAGCAAGATTATTTAGTTTACAAGTAGCCGGACCGCTAATGGGAACCATTGTCAGTCTTGTTATGGGTGGCCTATTTTGTAGCATAACTCTGACGGATAGGGTACCAGCTATCTTCCGGTATGGATGGACACATTTTTATTACACATTAGGTCAGTTACTGAGTGAAAAACGCACGTGATATAATGTGTTATCTGGCTATTTTCCACCTAGGTGGACTTGGTGTAATTTGGTCCGTTATTTGGTTTTTACTTTCATCGGATGCTCCCATAACAAATCGTTTTATTTCTACTCGTGAGAAAAACTATCTTTTAAAGTGCAAAGCCAAAGAACGTATAGAAGATTCTAAAATGGTGAGCAGCGTGTAATGAAAATCTCGCCCCCATTTTCTGACCTTATTATGTGCGGTCGACTGAAAATTATTACCTAAGCCCATTGTAAGGTGCTCAGAAAGCAGACTTTCCATGCAATTTATTTTCAGCATCACCATTCGATAGAGGGCATCGAGCTGATCACGAATATGTGCTCTTCGTTCTTTTTGGAAATTCTTTTCGGGTCGAAAAACTCGAAATAGCCGACAGATATCAAAACTCAAGAACAACAAGATATCAGAGAATGGTCATCATTTTTTTGCGTTGTATTTTCAAGAGTCGAGCTAAAGTTTTTGGATTCAGCACTAAAAACTGAATACGAAACTGGTCTCAGAACGTTTCTAGGGCTAAAAACTTATCCTCGAAAAATCTCGCAATTTGCAAGGCCCAAAAATCGAACCCGATTTTGAAAACCTACCAGAGGTTTTTCTAAAGGTCCTAGAGCCCAAACTTTCCATGGTTCGATTCGCCAGATTCTCCTCTTCAAAAGTATGTGGCCAGTTTTTTGAATTTTGTTCTTCTCTGAGAAAAGTCGACTTTACTGGGAAAGACCGAAATTCTGATCCTAATTCGCCATTTTCTTCACCAGAACTCGACTTTCACGCAATGAAAATATCGTATTGCAATCGGCGTCAAAAATCTAATTGAATGATGTACTTTTTTATCTTGTTCGATCGCTTTGATTGTTTTTGAATTTTCTCATCCAAGAATTACTGACATTTTCATGAAAAAATGAAAATCAACGAAAAGTTTTGAAGTATATATATATTATCATTCAACTAGATTTTTGACGCCGATTGCAATACGATATTTTCATTGCGTGAAAGTCGAGTTCTGGTGAAGAAAATGGCGAATTAGGATCAGAATTTCGGTCTTTCCCAGTAAAGTCGACTTTTCTCAGCGAAGAACAAAATTCAAAAAAACTGGCCACATACTTTTGAAGAGGAGAATCTGGCGAATCGAACCATGGAAAGTTTGGGCTCTAAGACCTTTAGAAAAGCCTCTGTTAGGTTTTCAAAATCGGGTTCGATTTTTGGGCCTTGCAAATTGCGAGATTTTTCGAGGATAAGTTTTTAGCCCTAGAAACGTTCTGA